AGGGTCATTTTAAAACCAAGTGTTAGCCATTTTAAGAGCTTAAACAGGATTGCTGGAAGCTTCCATGTGCCACCTCTTCACTGCCATGGTCTGTCTGCTCACAGCGGGCTTGCTTTAGAGTCCAGCTGTGAGGCCACGCCCAGGTCCGTCCAGCCCTGTCTGAGTGTCGCCTGGCGCCGCCCCGTGGCCGTGCACCCACCCACTGCTCAGCGGCCTTGAAGGGAGAGCAAGACACAGCGCGATTGTTCTCACCTCGGGCCCCGAGAGCAGAGGCTTCGTCAGCGGGAGCCGCGGGGCCCACTCGCGCCAGCACCAGGCAGTGTGGCTGGGAAGGAACATTCTAGGGCTTTCCTGAGCCCGGTGCAGCTGCTGTGTGTGATGAGGGGCCAATGCCCACTGGCTCCCATGAGACCAGAGTCTCCCTGTCCTCGTGAAGCCTCAGCTGCACAGACCGGGACTGCCGCTCCACGTACACACATGCACACAACATGTGCACACACATATGTCAATGTCACCGAGACTGACCCAGTGCACTCATGTGTGCCTGCGTGGTAACAGATATGTTTACAGACGCGGTACCAGGCCATCCCTCCATTGCATCCACCACACACAGACACTCATGTGCACACACATGCACATTGCATCAGGATCACTCCTTAGTGTACACACAGGTGCACATGCGTGTGGTGGGGTCAGGGGGCAGCTGGGGCTTGAGGCTGAGGGGTCTGGGGACGGGTGCAGTGGCCGACACTTGCCAGCATGTGTGAGCCCTGGGTCAGTTCCCACGCTGCAAACCCCCGCCCTATGTGCCCCTATAAAAAAGCTGCAGAAAAAATGAGGGACATGGAAGGTCCGAAGGGGACCGATCCACCTCCCCAGAACTGCGCTGGCTGGGGCGAGAGAGCAACCTGATCCCGGCTTCCGGCCTGTTCTCCTACACGGAATCCCTCCCTCTCTTCCTCCATCCCTCCCTGCTCTCCTCCCCTTCTTCCTTCTCCCCCAGCCCTTTCTCCCCCACCTTATTTCCCTCTCCCTCCTTCCCTCTCTCCCTTTCTCTCCCTTCTTCCTTCTCCCTTCCTGCTTCCCCATCCTTCCTTCTTCCCACTTCTGGCCACACCTGGTTGCGCTCAGGGGCTATGCCCAGCTCAGAGCTGCACTGAGGTTTATTCCTCACAGTGCTCCAGGGACCAGGTGGTGCCGGGGATCAAGGCAGAGTCCCTGCGTGCAAAGCCTGTGCCCTCTGAGCCCTTTGCAATTGTTTCTAGTTCACAGAATAGGATACATTCACTTGATCATATCCACAAAATACCTACCTGGGGAAGGTGGAAGGCTCGAGCCTGGAGCATGGAGAGGCGGGTTTGATCCCAGCACCTCAGTAATCCCTGAGCACTGCCAGGTGTGGCTCCAAGAAGGTGAGCAATCGCCAAGTCACCATACCTTTGTCCTTGCTGGACTCTCTGGGCCTTCACGAGCTCGACTGCATGTCCCGTGGGGGGCATCTGGGGCCAAGGAGACTCAAACCTTGCTCTGGAGGCTATTGGGGCCACACCCCCGGGTACGGCATGTTCTTTCACCCGTTGTCCCTGGTGGCAGCCCGTCTGTCCGGTTCTCTCTGGCTGAGGATCCGCTCTCAGCTCTCCATGGTCAGGCCCTGGATGTTTCTGCATGGCCCCATCGCGTGCATTAGGGGCCCGATGTCTCTGCGTGGCCCATCGCGTGCACTAGGAGAGGCTGGGGCAGCGTGAGGGGCCCTCAGCGGCAAGGCTGGGCTCTCACTCACGGCCGGCCCTGCTCTGGCCAGTCCTGATGCTTCTGGCCAACCTGCCCTTCCCTGGAGACGTCCTCTCCCCCTGCGTGCCCAGCGTGGGACTGTGTTCCGTGGGACAGCTACGAAGCCATCAGCATCCCTGTGACTAACAGCCAATGCCTTTGTACCCACCCAAGCAAGCAGGTGCCACACGGACGACCACGCTGCCACGCTGCCGGAGCTTTCCATGCTGTACGCTGATCAAGGGTCTCACCTGCTCACCTGTGGTGACTCTCCTCCTTGGCCTCTACTTCCTGCCTTCTTTTTTTTTTCCCCGAAGTAAATAGATTTTATTTGGAGGGTTTTTAAAGATGTGGAGGGAGAGAGTGAGAGACAGAGAGAGTAACACACTCAAGAGAATGCGAGCTTCTCCAAGTGCAGAGAGAGCCCCTACACACACCCTAGCATTAGACACGGAAGCACGAAAGTACACATCTCAAGAGGGGAGATGTGGGCGACACATGTGCTCGGCCACGTGGGCACAAGCAGCACATGGGCTCGGGCTGCATATGTGCCTACTTCCTGCCTTCTTAAAGGACAGGTCATGGCCCCATAAGGGTTCACAGATCTGAATGTAGGGGTTGTGAAAATGTTTTAAAATAAATCTGATTTATTATCAATGTGTGATCTGCCTATGGATGCTATTTTCTTGTGGTCACATAAATATTCTGTCACACAGGAGTTCAAGTGGACCATGTTTAAGACTGCTCCACTTGCAAGAAACCTTATCTGAAATGGTCCGGCCTCAGGCTGGTGGAAGGTCTGGTGTGGGCCAGTCCGGCAGTCAGGTCTCCCCAGCTGCTCTGGGGGCACTGACGTCCACTGAGCCACGGCCTGAGGGGCTGCCCGATTTACTGAAGCAGAAGATGGGACCCAATGAGGAGAGGGACGGAATGGAGAGAGCGGAAGGAGGCCCAGAGATGAGCTGTGGGGAGGCCCCCGAGGTCCTGGGGCACCAGGAATCAAACCACGCGCTCTAGCCCACTGACTCTCCCCAGCCCACACCTGGAACGCGGCCCACGGTGACCACGTGGCCCCAGGCACCTCCCAGGCCATGACAGCGGCTGTGAAGCCGTCCCCATATCCCTCCCAGGCTCCCTGATGCTGTTACCAAGGGCATTTCACATGCCCACACCCTTGCCACGTGTTCTGAGGTGGAGCCCCTGAGAGACTCCTGTTCCGCTGACCACAGGCTGGGGGCCGCAGCAGAGGCACCGCGGAGCTCCACGTCGGGGGGCCGAACCTAAGGGAATATCTGAAACTCCCTCAATTCCTCAGTTTCACAAAAAAAAACAGAAAGCAACTGAAAGTTACAAGCTATCAAAGGTGACGTCAGTGAACACATGTCCCCGTGTGCGGGGAGATACTAGTCCAGTCACCTCATCCTAGCGAGGGTGGAGGTTTCCGATTAAGTGCGTGTTGTCTGACTTATTACTACATTTAAAAACGTGCATAAATGAAACTAAAGGTATAAAGGAAGATTATACACATTTATTTTTGGTGAGCTTTGTCTCCTCATACTTTTGCCTAATGTTTTCTGGCATTTCTCTACAGTTTTGATTCGAAAATATGTTGTTTTTATAATAAAACATTAATTTGATAAACAGAACAGGCAAAGGAGGAAATTTTTTCCTGGGAATTCAGGGGGAAAGAATCCACTCTTGACCTTGAAAAATGCCTTTGTATTAAACTTTCCCATATCTAAGGTGTCACTTTTAGATACCAAATTCTTTGTGCTTACTCTATCTTCTGATGTATTTTCATTCCTATACTGAAAATATATCTAAAGCTATATAAAAGGGAAACAGAATAATTTTGGAAGATGGAGAAATTCTGGGGCTCTGTTTCAGCACAGTGTGACTGACCCCCAAAATGATGACAGCAATTAACTTGTCCGTCCTGGGCTTCTTACTGCAATAAAAACCATCCGTTATTGAGGGCTAGAGTGACAGCACAGCAGAGAGGGTGCTGGTCTGGCATGTGACCGAACGGGGTCCAATCCTCGGCACCCCACACGGTCCCCTGAGCACCACCAGGAGGGATCCCTGAGCACAGAGACAGGAGCAAGCCCTGAGCACTGCCGGGTGTGGCTCAAACAAACAAAAACACCCAGTATTTAATCCTCAAAATTATGGCGACTTTTGTGTATGTGAGTGCTGTGTCCAACTCCCCAAGGGGCCTGTGTGTGTGTGCGCGCGTGTGCGTGTGCTTCTGGGGAACGTCGGCAGCTGCTCCATCCCCTCTGCCTCCCCCTGGTCGGGCTGGGAAGTGTGTCCACACTGACCGACAGGCCAGCCTGGTCCCTGAGGACTGCAGTCCGGCCTCTGGGCTCTGGACGGGCGTCTGCCCTCTGCCCTGTGCGACTGAGGCAGCTCCGCCAAGTGCCTCTCTGCATGTATTTGCGGGATGGTTAAGTCTGGTACATTCTCATTAAGCGTGATGTGCCCAATAGTTTAAAAAAAAAATATATATATATTTATATATATATATATTTGTATTTCATAAGGGTGGATCCCACTTTATATGGATTGTGTTGTATTTTATATATTTATACTGATATCACCAAGTGAATAGCCTGAATACTCCACTAGCTCCCGACTACATAACAGGCATGAAATCCCAATCCCAGAGACACCCGTGGGTGGGTACAGAGCTGCTTGGCCTCGCGCGCTCAGTTTCCTGCCAGGGGCCTGTTTCCCATGGCACGCTGTGAGTGCTCATTTTGTATCAAGGGATTTGTTTTGGGAGGAAGAGGAGAGGTGTGTGAGGGGGGAGAGTGAGGGGAATATGAAGAGAGGGGCGAGGGGGGAGGGGGGAGGGGGGGAGGTCAATGTGTTTCAAGGGTTTTCATCAGCAGCCTCTGCCGTGAGGCAGGCTTGCTGACTCTGAACATTCCGGAAGGAAGGCAGCCCGGCAGCCCCGTGCTTGGTGGTGGGGACAGGCAGCACCATGAGGAAGGGACGTGCTCCAGGGCCCAGCGCAGGCCTGAGCACAGACCACGGGGCAGGCCACATCTCCCCCACAGCACTTCCGTTTCCCGTTTGTTTTCTGCACAGCTCAGGAGCGTGCGTCTCCTGGGGTCTGGATTCCACGATGCTAACACCTTTTTCCAGGTTTATGAATCACAGTAAGATGCCGGATTCTGACAGGTGGGGCCTGTTCCAAAGACGAAATCAAACTCAGAATGAACGTCTCGGTGAAAACTAACACGTTCATTGGTACCTTTCGTAGTGGGCCAACATTTGACACAAAAACCCAGGAACTGCCCCGGAAAACAGTTCCCATGATAAAGCAAGGCCGGTGGGGTGGCTCGTGGCCTGCACTGCGGAGTGTCTGCAGAGGCCGCCCGCGCCGTCCTCTCAGGAGAGCTCACTACCTTCCACGCATGCCAGGCGTCATGCTACCTGTAATGTAATGAAGTGAAACTGATTTTCCAAATTTATGCATTACTCGCATTACTCCCCCGCCGCCAACACACACCCATTTTAAGTCCCTTTCGCAAACTCATAGCTTCAAGTATGGGAAGTGAATGAACATGGCGAAGATGGTGTGGAAACGGAGGTCTGTGCCTCACTTGCTCCTGGCTCGTGTGAAGAGGGCTATGCAGCCTCACAACCTTCTCCACATTTTTCCTAACTATGAGAAAAGTTGGCAGAATCTCCTGCCCCTGCGCCTGGCTGTCCTCACAGGGGCCCCTCGGAGGGGGGCGGGTTGAGTTTCCCTCCCCGCCCTGAGCAGAGCCCCGGCAGCCGAAGACCTCCGGAACCCAGCCAGAGCCATGCTGAGACCACTCTCCACATGCTCGGACGAGCTTCACAACTGAAGGAACCGGCAGCGGAACCCAGGTGTGCGGGACCCGGGGCTGAGATCTCCAAACCTGCTGGGATCGGGACTGGGCCTCTTCCAGCCAGATCCCCCATTTTTCAGTAGCTTGGCAGTCACACCCACGAACTGGCCCCAGCGCCATGCAATCCCATCAACGGCCAAGACCCAGAGACTAAAAAACAAAACTCCCTGAAGGGGCCGTGCAACCTCTTATAGTCTAGTTCTCCCTCTCGGAGAACCCGGCAAGCTACCAAGAGTATCCTGCCTGCACGGCAGAGCCTGGCAAGCTCCCCGTGGCGTATTTGATATCCTAATAACAGTAACAATAATGGGTCTCATTCCCCTGACCCTGAAACAGCCTCCAATGCGGCACCGCTGGGAAGGACGAGTAAAGAGAGGCTGCTAAAATCTCAGGGCTGGGACAAATGGAGGCGTTACTGGCGCCCACTTGAGTAAACCGATGAACAATGGGATGACAGTGATACAGTGATGAGAAAAGTTAAGTGTGGATCATTGGGCCACTCTGGAAACAGTTAAGTGGTACATAAATGCAAGTTTAATCATCGATTCCCCCCAGCTAGAGGATACTGTTTCTGAAATAAAAAAAAAAAACACCAAAAAAAACCCCTCAGAAAACAAACGGGGCCTGCAGAGTTGGGCAGCTGTCCCCTGGCCAGCCCTGCTCTTGCTGCGGGTGCAGCTCTGAACACCCTGAGGACCTCGCCTCACACACGGCAGACTTAGTTTGGATAAAGTACAATCCGACTCTGTGGGTTTGCTCGGAGTTTCAGACCCAGTACGAGGTCGCCAGCACCTTTTTTAAGTCACGGAAATTAAGGCATGAACATTTCACACACTTAAGTGAGGATTTCTCATTTTCTTCCGTGCCTTTGACTCTTAAGACATTGGCTTCCAGGCCCCGAGAGATGGTACGGCAGGTCAGGTGCTGGCCTTACATGCGGTCTACTTAGATTTGATTTCCGGTACCCCATAGGGTCCTGAGCCCTGCCAGGAATGACCCCTGAGCATAGACCCGGGAGTAAGACCTGAGCACCGCCGGCTACGGCTCCAAAAGCCAAACCCAAACCCAACACTTGCTTCTGACTCTGCCCTCAGTATCAGGTCTGGGGGATACCCATCTGGAAGCTCCTGTCTGGAGAATCCCTAACTAGCTCCCACTGGGCATTTCCCACCCAAGTGTGGCCTTACTCCAGCAGGAGGGAGAGGCCTTACCTGACAGCAGCAGCAGGACCAGCAGGGGCTCCCAGAGTGTTCCGGGGTGCTCCCAGGGTCTCCCGGGGTGCTTATGGGGGTGCTCATAGGGTCTCCTGGGGTCTCATCTAGTGCTTACAGAGCCTCCAGAGCCTCACAGGATTTCGCGGGGTCTCGGAGGTCTCATGGGTGCCGTGTCTCTTGCTCTGAGGTGGGGCTAGCAGTGAGCCTGGCTGCCTGTGGGCTGCATGACTGGGGAGGGCGATACCACCGCCCACTGACTCCAAGGGCACAGACACTCGCTCTCCTTGCCAGCCTGCAGACACACCCTGACCGCTGACTGCTCGCACAGGGGCACGGCAGCGGGAGGCCCCAGGGCCAGGGCTGGACTTGGTACCTCCAGCCCAGGAGGTGGTTACCCCGGGGATTTCTCTCCACACAGAGCCTCTCCCTGCAGACAGAGACTGTTAGATCAACCCCAGTGCCTGTGCATGTGTGTGTCCCTGTGTGTGTGTGTGTACCTGTACGTGAGGCTGTACATGTGTGCATGTGTGTGCCTGTACATGTGTACATCTGTGCCTATACGTGTGTGCATGTGCCTGTATGTGTGCTTGTGCCTGTGTGTGCGTGTGTCTGTGCGTGTGCCTGTGTGTGGAGTTGCAGAGGCTCTGCGGACCCTGTGGCTCACTCTAAGCCACCTGCTGTGATCTTTTCTCTGTCCCCGACTTCCGCCCCTCTTAAGCGATCACCAATGCTACCAGACCGACGCTGGTTCCCCACCACTCCTGACTTGTCTGGACACCGCTGCTTACTGACTCGAGCCAAGGCTCTGGGTGGAGCGGCCCTGACTCGGACCAGGAGTGCAGGGTCCTAAGCAACCCCCAGCAGGCCAGTCTGCCAGCAGGCCAGGTGAGCGGCTGCCTCCCAACACCGCCCCACGGGCTGAGGTGAGCCGAGAACAGGGACTGTGAATGACAGCGCCTATTCCAGAAACCTCTGACTGCCCCGTGGTATCTGTTCTGGTGCTACCACTGCCCAAAGGGCCGCTCCTCTGGGCTCCCAAACAAGCCCTTTTCTGGAAAGAGGCTGCAGTGGGCAGAGCTGCCAGCAGAGGGCAAGCTGCGACCAGCAAAGCTCGTGGTGCCTTCCTTGAGTCGGCAATTCTCTGCAGGAAACGGAGCTCAATAACAAATACCAATATTCACACTAAGACTAATTCGTTTCAGGTCCACAGTAAGATGTCAATGCCTAGAGTTAAAAATAAGTGTGTGTGCGGGGGCAGTAGGGAGGTTCTTTCCTTCTTGAACTCAGCTGACCCGGTTTGAATCCCGGCATCCCATATGGTCCCCTGAGCACCACCAGGAGTAATTCCTGAGTGTGGAGCCAGGAGTGACCCTTGGGTGTAGCTGGGTGTGGGCACCCCCACTAAAAAAAAAAGAAAAGAAAAAAGAAGTGGCACATGTGCTCCTGTCACCAAGACTATGGTGATCACCGCGCACACAGGCTGAGCCCCTGCCTGAGAAGCGGGGACAGTTCTCATGAGGAGGGACCATTCGGGGCAGATCTCCAGCTCACACTTCTCCCCACACACCTGCGTTCCACCAGGCGCCATGGGCAGCTGCTCCATCCCCTGACATCTCAGAGAGGACTGTGGCGTGCCAAGGGTTACCCCAGGGCGCCGAGGACGGGATGGAAGGTGGGAGTGCTGTTAAACATGCCAACTGTGCCGGGAGAGGCTGGCCCTAGGCCTCCTTAGGTGAGTCCTCCGCTGGGCCCTGTTCTGAGCACGTACCTGAAAGGAATGTCCCAAGCATGCTGGACACCCTAGGGGCCCTCCTCGTCGTGCCTCTCTGTTTTCAGCACCGAGTCTTCTCCCAGAATTTTGCACAGTTCATTCAGTCTCTGCTGCATTTTTGGAATTCCCGCGAGCTGAGATTCCAGCTTTTGTTTTTCTTCACTCAGGGTTAAGCGGATGGCAGCATCCAGCTGTTCAAAGCGCCAACCTCCTTCACCATCAAACTGCAGAAGGTGAGTGTGGTACTTCCTGCAGACACAGAGTGATGTCAGCAAAAGCCGCGCAAGGGCGTCAGAGCCGCAGGCCTAGCGTTTACGCTGGCAGCCAAGGCAGAGTTGAGAACTACCCGTTTCACACACGATTTTACCAGAATCTACAAGGATCTCCACGAAGGCCAAGTATCAACACTTCTGTTTGTTTTTTAGGTCACACCCAGCAGCGCTTAGGGCCTCTCCCAGACAGTGCTGGGGCAGGATTCCCGCAGTGCTGGGACCACGACTGCTGGGCTGGAAGCGGGGACTCTCACAGGCAAAGTTGCTCCAGGCCTTTGAGCCGTTCCCAGGCCAGGATTATGGGCATTTAAGGGCTAGGCCATGGCTCAGGGCAGAATACACACAGAAACTAGTTTTTGGCACAAACGGCATCTCTAGGAGACTGATTCGTTGCTCCTGCTGAACTTCGTTCCTATTCTCAATGCCTACGAATGTAAAGAAGGACCCACACCCGACTGCCTGATGGTCTCGTCTGGCTCCCGGATAACTAGCGGCACATACTCAGCTCGGGTACGAGGCAAGGATGCTGACAGGAGTGAAAATGAGGCTGCAGTGAGAAACTGAGGGCCCCATGGTGGGGGCCCCATCTAAGGATCCCCTCTAAAGCCCCTGTGGTAGGGGTCCCACCTCAAAGGCTGTGGCCGTGGAGGCAACAGAACCATCAGGCCCCAGGCTGGAGTGAAGGGTGACAAGCAGGGCTGCAGGCCCCTGCTCTGCCCTCCAGGGCCCCAGGTGAACCGAAGTTCATCCAAACAGGAGCCGGCCGCGGGCAGTAGGGACATGCATCGTGGTGCTGGGTCAATGCAGGTTCGTCTTTGAGCACATGTGCCATGAGGACCAGGAGGGCCACGCGTGCCCTCTGCACTCAGGAGACCCAGGTTTGACCCCGGTCCTGCCTGGTCTCTGGAGCACCAGTGGGTGCAAGCAAGCAGAGCAGGCTCTGGGGGAGATGGCGTGAGGGGAGAGGCCGTGAGTGTGTGTGGGGGGCGCGTCTTTGGACCTTCCCTTCAATTCTGCAGTGAGCTTTGAACTGCTCTGAAAAACAAAGTTTTAGAAAACAACAAAACCCAGCTTTTTGTTCCTCCAACGGGGTGAAGTGGCTAAGGGTGTGAGGGCCTGCTGCGGCCACTGCGCAGGCCCCGCACGAGCCACTCCTGGCTCTCCGGAGGGGCCACTGGCCCCTGCCTCCGCTCGGGGAGACCCTGTGGGGCTGACTCTCCCCGGGCACTCACCAGAGTGACGGCCGGTGAGTGATGGACAGCAGGGAGATGCCGGCGGCCTTGGCGGCCTGGAAGATGGTGCCTTCCACGTCGATGCTCACTGCGCTGGTGCACTCGTCCAGCAGCGCGTACTTGGGTCTGCAAAACAAGGACAGGAGGGAGGGACGGGCAGGGCACCGCGTCTCCTGGGACAGGAGGAGGAGGTGAGAGCGCAGGCGCCCTCTCGGACAGTGTCTCCCTGCCTCACGGCAGGAGGCGCCTCTGATGCGCTGTGCTCACGGTGAGTCAGAGGGATGGCAGCTCCGTCTGTGCCTCCAGGACCAAGAGGCAACCAGGAGCACAGGATACAGTGCACCGGCTACTCCCGCTGTAGCTAGCCAGCAAGGTGTGTGGGTCCCACCATGCTGGGTGCAGGGGGCGTGCAGCTGCCGGTCAGCTCAGGGGAAAGCCGGCCCACCTTTCATGGCTGGACTCAGCCCTTCTCCTGCTCGTTTCTGTGTGGAAACGGTGCAGCCCCTTCAGAGGCCATCTTGCCGCCACTGTCCTCTGCTTGTCCCCTCCCCAATTCCCTAGCTGTCCCTGTGGACAGTGTCTGCCCCCGAGACACGCCACACCATGTTCACGGCACCAGAGGCAGGCGCTGACAGGCTGAGACGAGGCCCGGGTCTTGGCCCGGACAATGCCCTTCACGGAAATACCCCGATTCTTGAAGATAAATGACAATGCAGAGAGAAGCATGAAGAGCAACTTCTCATCCAGCCTGGATCTTCACCACAGACTCGCTTGCTTACAAAGGATCAGCGCCGACTGCAGCGGTCCGGGCTGAAGGGCAGAACCAGAGGCCGGGGTGCAAACCCGTACGCAGCACACGTGGGCTGGCAGAACTGGTGCCACATGGTGCCAGCTACTGGGAAGTCCTTGTGGCTTTGCCTCCAAGGTAACTGCCATTTTGTGGATATTTTTGAGTGAAAAAGAGGGAGAAGAAAAGAAAGACACGAGCGGGATGGGATAAAGTTTCCTTTTCTGCGTAAAGCTGTGTCTCGCCTTCAGAGTGATGTGTGCTAGGCAGAAAAGGGGCCACTTCAGAGTGGGAAAGAGCGCACAGCTTCCGTCCTGTCGTCATGGCAACCCCATCTAGCAGCTGCGAGCTGGACGCCCGGCTTCTGCTTGCTTGGCAGGAGTGAGTGTGCGGGAATCCGAAGCTGTCCCCGCTGTTCCTTGCCTGTCCATTCCCTTCTCTTTCGGAATGCATTTATATAAGAAATACCCTAATATTTCCAACATAAAGTAACAAAATAGGAGACTAACACCCAAGAACAGCTGAGATAAGTACCAGGAGGATTACTCCATGGCTTTGAGGCCAGCCTCACATGCTAGGGGAAAAGGCAGCTCAGAGAAGGGAGCATCAAATAAAGGGTGTTGGGAGGGGAGATGCATGTTGAAAGTAGACTATGGACTGGACATGATTGCCACTCAATGTCTCTTTTGCAAACCACAACACCCAAAAGGACAGAGAGAACAAAAGGGAATGCCCTATCACAGAGGCAGGGTGGGATGGAGGGGATGGGGGGTGGGAAGGATACTGGGATTCGTGATGGTGGAGAAGGGGCACTGGTGGAGGGATGGGTACTCGATCATTGTATAACTGCTGAAACCCAAGCACAAAAATGTATAAGTCTACAACTGTACCTCATGGTGTTTCATTAATAAAAATTTAAGAAAAAAAAGAAATATCCTAATATTTCCAATACTGATGCCAAGCCAGTGAGGAAAACGTCATGATTTTTTGGGGGTTTGGTTTAAATGCATCAAGACTCACTGGGGGCGGGAGGCTAGCACTGCTAGTGGGCCTGGGTGGGAGCAGCGTGTGTCTGAAGCTCTGTGGGTAATGGCAGTGGTAATCATAATGCCTAAAATAAGAATTTTAAATGCTTTAAAAATAACAAAATAGAGATTAGAGTGGCAAAGGTCACTGAATCGTGTGGTAGGAATGTGGGTTCACCCACCATTTCCTCGTCTTTGAAGCTCTGTTTTTTTTCTATAGATTATTTTTCAAAATTGTAGACAACTTGATACTGAGTTTATATGGCTCACTTGATGTTAATTTTGCTCTTTCCTCAGCTTTTTCAGTCTGATCAGAATCACCGTTTCCATGGCAACTCCCGAGCGCCCTTGCTCAGCACGGCGGCCAAGTCCCTCGTGCCCCACGAGTCCCTGCTCTGCTGAGCTCCTGTTCCAGGGAGAGTGTAAATGCAGAAAAAGTCCTTTTTGCCTTTTTTCCTCTTTAACCGAGTCACCATGAGATACAGTTACAAAGTTGTTCATGATTGCGTTTCGGTCATTCGATGTTCCAATGTTCCACCAGTGTACGTTTCCCACCACCAGTGTCCCCAGTTTCCCTCCTGCCACCCCACCCCACCCCCACCCCGCCTCTATGGCAGATGCTTCCCTCTCTCTCCATCCCCCTCTTGCTCTCTCTCTCTCTGTCTCTCGCCCTCTCTTTCTGGGCATTATGGTTTGCCATACAGGTACTGAGAGGTCATCCCGTATATATACCCTTTCCCTCCTTTCAGCACTCACTTCTTGTCCAGGGTGGTCATTTCCAACTATCAATGTCAGAGTGGTCCCTTCTCGGTCCTAACTGCCCTTCCTCCTGACTTGTGGCAAGCTTCCAACCACAGACCAGTCCTCCTGGCTCTCGTTTCTCCTGTCCTTGGGTATCAGTCTTATAAAAAGAGGTGATTTTCCAAAGAGAACCAGGACAAACCGGAGCAACAAATCAGAGGTCCAAATATTTCTCTCAGTGTCTTGAGTACTAGTATTAAATTCAGATGCTACAAGCAGGTGACAAAGAGAAAAGCTTATCAAGAGAAGTTGTTTCTTGTATCTCTCAGTCCACTAATGCCTGTGCTGGCTCTTTCTTCTCCCTGGTTTGCCTCTTATTCCCAAGGTAAGCCACAGCCTGTGTGAGCTGTGGACGGGGTGGCAGGTTTTGCTTGGCAACAGGTACTAACTAGGCCCAGCGCTGCACTGATGTGCACAGTGCTCTCAGTACGACGCTGGCTATGAACTCCTGCCTTCTGCTGAGAGCACACAGAAATTTAACCTGGTGCTCTGTATGCTTTCTCACGTCATATGCCTTGAATCAAAAGAAGAAAAAGCAAAATGTGTGAAAAATAGCAAGTATTGAAATATTAAGTTCTGTGTATTAGTATATGATTGAGTTACTTAACAGGACCTGTGCAGTGAGTTTGGCTGCAGCGACCACCAACAGGTATCTGAAGGTGTCAGTGTCCCATCCGTGGTAGAACACATGTGGCAGTGTTCCAGCTGTGGTGGAAGATGAATGGCAGTGTCTGACCTGTGGGTAAAACACAGGTGGCAGTGTCCCACCTGTGGAAGACCTCGTGCAGTACTTCCCCACCTGTAGCAGAACATATGTGGCTGGGTCCCACTGATGGCAGAACATGCGTGGCAGTGTAAAACACACGAGGTAGTGCCTTACTTGTGCGGAATACATGAGTTGGTGTCTGCCTGTGGCAGGGTGCAGCCTGTGATAGAAAACGTGTGGTACCACCTGTGGTAGGACATATGTGGTAGTGTCCCAGCTACGGCAGAACATGTGCAGTCGTGTCCCGCCTGTGGCAGAACACGTATTATCTGTGCCCTATCTATGGTGGATAATGAGGTAGTGTCCCACCTGTGGGGGATCACGGCAGAATACATGTTGTGGTGTCTGCTGGTGGTACAAAATGAGTAACAGTGCCCCACCTGTGGTGGAACACGTGTGGCAGTGTCCTGCCTATGGTAGAACATATGCGGCAGGGTCCTGCCTGTGATAGAACCTGTGTGGCACTGTTTTGCCTGTGGCAGTACACATGTATCAGTGCCCCACCTCTGGTAGAACATGTGTTAACAGTGGCTGCCTGTGGTAGAAAATGAGCGGCAGTGCCCCTCCTCTGGCAGAACACGTGAAGCAGAATTCCACCTGTGAGAGAACACGTGTAGCAGGGCCTACCTGTGCTATGACATGGGTGGCAGTGACCAACTGTGGGAGAACATGTGTCGTAGGGTTCAGCCTGTGGTAGACTATGTGTGACAAGGTCCAACCTACGGAAGAACACCTGTCATACTTCTCACCTGTGGTAAAAGACAAGTGGCAGTTTTCTACCTGTGCAGAACATCTGTGGCAATGTTCCGCTTGTGACAGAATATGAGTGGTAATGTCCCGTGATAGAACACGAGTGACAGTGGCCCTCCTGTGGCAGAACATATGCGGCAGGGTTCTGCTTGTGGTAAAACATGAGTGGCAGGGTCTTACCTGTGACAGAACAGGCGTATCAGTGCCCTACCTGTGGTAAGACACATGTATCAGGCCCCCACCTGTGGTAGGAGAAGAGTGACAGTGGCCTACCTGTGATAGAACATGCGCGCCATCCCCATCCTTTGCTTTTCTCCTCCAGACAAGACGTCTTTCCAGTCCATAACAGCATCCCACCCTTCAAAAGAGAAGGATGCATTTCTAAGGGATGCTCTCACACATCTGTGGTAGCTACACAAAGAAACCAACCCAGGGAACAGACTGTGTCCAGCAAAAGTGAGCTGTAGCCTCTGACCACAGCACTCAGGTAACTGAGGTGAGGAGGGGTTGAGAGTGTGCAGTGGACAGTGGTGAAGGGTTCCAGGCACTTTGGTGGAGAGTGTGGATGGTGTGTATGGTCACACTGCACCCCTCAAACACAAACATCTACACCTTGTTACCTCAGTAAAAATATACACTTGCATTTAGAAGAGTAAAGGAACACTTTATAGGATGTCAGCTTCTTGCTCTTTGTACCTGGGACAAGTACTTGCTGATAAGCTGGAAGTTTACAACACGAAGGATGTGTCAGTTTACAGAATGTGTGCTGAAATACACCAGGCATGCTCATGGATATGACTTTTATTTTTTTCTTTTTGGTCACACCCAGCGATGCTCAGGGCTTACTCCTGGCTATGCACTCAGGAATTGCTCTGGTGGTGCTTGGGGGGAACATAGGGGATGACGGGGATTGAACCTGGGTAGGCCATGTGCAAGGCAAACGCCCTACCTGCTGTACTATCGCTCTGGCCCCTGTACGACTAGATTTATTAAGCATAAGAGACCATTTGGAATTAAGTTCGGATTGCCCCACAGTGGAGGAAATATTCTGGGCTTCAAACAAAATTTCCCTTGCCAACTGAGAACAAGGAATAAGGAAAAGTATTTGGGTCAGAGGAAACTTTAGCTTTACAAATCTGAATAAATCATGTCCTTTGTTCCAGTAAACCCAGAAGTTTTGTGGGCAGCAACACGGCTTGGAACTGCTGGCTTGGGCTTGGTGACGGAGAATCTTCGCGTGTTCTCAGGACTACGAGACAACGGTGCCTGTAGTGGGAGGGTGACCACAGCAAGAGTCAACTGTCCTCCTCACATGGCCAGAGGTTTTACGTCACAGAACCCAGTCACTCATAAAACCTGCTCTTGCAAACTTCCCAGCATTAACCTGAACCCCTGCTGACCATGACTTCCCAGGGTCAGTGTCAGAGCCCCGGGCCAGGTCTTGCCGGGAGGCCGCGGGCCTGTGGGGAAGGACCGACCTCTGCGTGCTGGGTTGGGGAGGGCCGTACCTCCTTCTCGCTGCACTATGTGGAACAGGTGCACGCGCCGCAGGATGCTCTCCAGGTCCTGGTCTGTGAAGCCCTTTTCCCGCATGTCATCCTGAGAGTCGGGGTAGATGACCTGGTCCCGGAGACTCCCCAGAGACATGTAGGGCCTGAAAGACATCGAGCACACAGCACTCCAGTGCACAGCGGCTCCACCACAGAGCTGCCTCCTTGGGATGGCTGCAATGAACGGGACTGACCCCCAACCAGCCTGGAGGCCCCGTTCCCTCTTTCATGCGCCTGCCAGTGGCGGCTGAACGGGTGGGGAGGTGGCTCACGGCCACCGTACGCATGCGCTGAGCTCCCACTCTTCTCGAATACACAAGTTTCCACGAGGACAAGCTGGTGCCCTCCCACCCACATGCATACTCATCTCAGTGCATTTGCGAAGATCATTTGGGTGAAATGCCACAGAATTTGAAGACTGTTTTCGTGGTGCTGGGACTCCAACCCAGCGCCTCGCACGTGCAAGGCAAATGCTTTCCAATGAGCTTCATTCCTGGCCCCAAAGTTGTGGTTCTGACCCAGCAATAAGACAACAATAACCCCTCCCCCCCAGCTACTTAAAAAATGCCATTAGTGGGGCTGGAGTGATAGCACAGCGGGTAGGGCATTTGCCTTGCACGCAGTCGACCTGGGTTCAATTCCCAGCGTCCCATATAGTCCCCTGAGCCCCGCCAGGAGTAACTCCTGTGTGCTGAGCCAGGAGTAACACCTGTGCATCGCCGGGTGTGACCCAAAAAGAAGAAAACCCAAAACAAACACCCCCCCCCCAAAAAAAAACAAATGCCATTTGTAATAAAAGAAATGCAAAGTAAAACCCCACTGAGTCCCTTGCTCCTCCTCCCTTCCTAGACCCTGGGCCTCCAGCACAGTCTCCTGAGCCCCCTCCCCGCCTGCACAGGGCTACACATGGGCACTGCCCAGCTGCAAAGTGGGCCCTGACCACCGGTCGTGTAGGGGCACTGCCCGTGAGGGTGTGTGTGTGGGACACAGTCCTGTGGGTACACTGAGGCAGGCCAGCCTGAGGGGAGAAGGACTAGCCTGCGGGGTGGAGGGCTGGCCTGGGGTAGGGTCTGCCTGGGGGTGGACGGTCCAGAGAGGAGCTGTGGGGGAGGGCTGTCCAGGAGAGCTGGACGGTTAGGTCACAGTGAGGGGCCCACGAAGGCTGCCGGTGCAGCGGGCGAGGGCTGCCGTGTGCTGGAGGAGGCTGAGCAGCACTCGGGGTCTGCCCAGCAGGTATGCGCAGGTGCCAGGAACAAGTTACTGCATCACTTCCAGGAATAACAACATACTGCTGTGTGAATTCATTTCAGGAGTGACAGGAAGTGTCCTTGGAGAGCAGAACCACCCCCCCCCCCCCCCAAACCACAAAACCACTGACACGGGACATAGCCTAGAGCCAAACAACACTGAAATAAAATACACGAATGAGCATGTCTGCATTGGGCCAGGGAGAAAACCAGGGAGCCTGTGCTTTGCAAATGGAGGCCTGGGTTGACCCCTGGCCGTGCCGAGTCCCCGAGCCCACAGGGACTGATTCCCAAGCCCAGAGCCATGAGGGAGCCCTGAGCACTTCCAGGTTTGGCTCTCCGGCACCCAAGAAGGCGTCTACTTCAGAAAGGAGTCACAGGGTGGGGCCAGGACAGAGCGGAGACCCATCTGCGAGTCCCCATCAGGACCACGTGGAGAGCACCACTGGGAGTGGGGAGGAAAGAAAGGCCAGAAGCAGAGAAGACCATTAGCAAATGAGCCAAAGCACCCTCCGACAAACTAGTCGTGCTGGACGGAAAGTGGGGACTTGGGGGGAGGCAGAGCCCCGGGGAGCTAGTGCTGCGTGTGGCAGGCGGAGCAGGCCAACCCCTTTGCTGACAGCCGTAACCTGGGTCCTCACGGCACAGAAGTGATCCAGGAAACCAGAAACGGGGATGCTTCCTAGGAACTGGGGTCTCAGCAGGGATTCGTGGCTGTTAACAAAACCTCTTTCCTGGCTCTGGCACTGTGTCATTCCGAAAGTGTCCTTGGAGAACAGCACATGGGCCACTGGGCTGAAGCTGGCCCCACAGACCCGTCAGGGAGCTGACCCCTGGGCGATGACTGTCACTGGCCTTAAAGTGAGTCAGAGTGTCAGAGGAGAGCCCTGGAGGAGCTGGAAAGACGAGCTCCAGTGACGCTTGGAAGCCCTTGGAAGGGAGGGACCCAGGGTGGACAGTTGGGCATGTGACGGCAGAGACAGGCCAGGGCAGGAGGAAGGGAAACACGCCGAGAGATCTACAGTGGCTGCCCACCAGTTTGGTTTGGACCCTTGGCCTCAAGAATCGTAAGAAAATAATTTACAACATTTTAGTTACATAGTGCTTAGAGACCAAGATAAGTCATAATAGTCACATTTTTGAAAAAATATGCATCCTGAATCATATCATGAGAAACCTCCCAGAAACACTGCAACCTTTCTCCAACTCTCAATGTCACAGCGAGGAAAATGAAGAAGCTGAGATTCAGAAGGAAAGAATCACAAGAGTCGAACACGACGCCGCTGTGAGGTGGAACCAAGAAGAGACGCTGAAGGACCGCTACCGCCAAAGGCTGAACGCAGCCACAGAAGCTGTGTCCAGAGGAGAGCTGCGAAGCAAGGACCTTCCCACCACCTGGAGGCGCTCTGGAAACATCTCCTGGGCAAGAAGGGGCCATACCTGTTGCCCATCACAGGCCGGGCCTGCAGCGGGCATCTTAGGCCAGGGCACGAGGAAGGGCCATGGGGCACAAGGTCAATCCAAATCCATCTCTAGACACACAGACAGGCCACCCTGCCCCCACCTCCCCTCGACCCTGACCTCCCTTTCCTAGACGACACCAGCTCTCACACGTGTTTGCTTGCATCACTGCATGCGTCTGTGTGACACTACCTTAGACTAACACCAAATAGAAACTGGCCACACAGCACAGAGCAGTCTTACAAGAAGCTGGACAAGGAAGCCATAGATAGAGCCTCTTGGCGTGTGAGCGTTTCTGACCCAGTGGCAGGGGCTTCTGAGCTGGACACAGGCCAGCGCTCACCCCACGAAGCCCACGGACGGCCCGTTTCTGCCTGGGCTTACACCCTCTGCCTTCCTGCAAAGGAAGGGCCCAGCCACCTTGGGTGAAGGGTGGAGCCAGCAGGGAGCGGCCACTCAGCGGTGGCCAGTCCCACTACTCTGCCCTGCATGTCACACGAGCCCCGGAGTTGCCTTTCCACGGCTCTCTTTGCTGGCCACCCCCTTCTCAGATGACCCTGTCCAGGCTGCTGCTGCGGGTCACTGCAGAGTCAGCTTACTCGGCACACACAGGCCCCTATAGCCACCCCAGAAGCCGACAACTAGCAGCAGGAACTGCCAAAGAAGTCAGCTCAGAACCTCTCCAGAACCACCCGAATCTCTCGAGGAAAAAGTGCTGGAATAAGCCCGCAGGAACCTACTAGAGCCAGAACGATGGGCTGGGGTCACCTGTCACTCTCAGGAGAGCGTGTGTACGGGTGGCCCCTGGGCTCCGCGTGCCGAGCCTGCACTCAGCCCTCCGAGCCGCCTCTCAGGCCCAGGGATCACCAATATTGAAACAAATGTTCAAATCTGGAATTCCTTCAAGTGCATCTATATTGGATTATTTGGGTGGGGCCACGCCCAGCGTGCTCAGGGGGCCTGGGGTCCAGCTGCTCACCTGGGAGTGGCTGCCTGCAACAGAGGCACCTTGACCCTTGTGATATCTCTCTGGCTCCAAACATTTTAAAATGCTTTTATAATAAAAGTACTGAAATCAGGCCCAACCCCAGTGATTAGACTTTTATAGTTATAAACATCTCAGGTCACTTTGATAAATTTTATTGCATAGCCCACTTTTCTGTGATAACATTTAAATCATCGACAATTGATTATTCTGGTTAAGGTGTTAACACTTTTACTTTTAGAGAATTATTTATTTTTCCTTAACAGGGATAGAATAAGGGATTAAGCAATGGCACTCTGTCTTTTTGGCTGGAGTCTGTGGGAAGATGTAACTCAAAATGCAACAGTTTATAGCCATCAGAATTTAGTAGGTGAGTGCTGATAAATATTTCACAGAAATATTCACTATGTTTAAGGTATAAGTAAGTTAAGTATGTTAAGAATAATGTACAGCTAAGTAATTCCTCAGTGTAGGCAGAAAATAAGAAGTTAGTGGTCTGAAAGCCAGAAATTCTGCTGTAAACTATACTTGAGAGCTCAAGTCGTATAAATGAGTCATCCTGAAACTCTTTTTTGGGGGGAGCAATGCTCAGGGATCACTTCTGGTTCTGCACTCAGAAGTCACTCCTGGCGGTGCTTGGGGAGCATATGGGATGCCGGGCATTGAACCCAGGTTGGCAGCATGCAAGGCAAGCCCTTTACCCACTGGGCTAACCCTCCAGCCCCATTGAGACTCTTAGGTTACGTGTGTAGCAGGCTGGGAAGATGATCAAAGAGCTGGAGCACGAGTTTCACGTGGGAGAATTGGGTTTGATCACCTGGTACTCCCCAGGCACTGCCAGGTGTAGCCCCAAACAGAAACAAAGGTAGCAAAAAGAAATGCCCCAAGTGAAGTCACAGTCATGCTTACTGAAATTACATTTTTAGGACCAGGTATTTCTAGACAACTGAACATGTAGAAATACATCTAGTCTCCTACGAGCAGGAACCGAGCCTGCTCCAGGTGGGAAGAGAAATTCTGTGGCATCAACAAGGTACCGCCACTCTGGAAGGCATGCAAACTTCTTAAAAGTCAGCTCTGCAGGGTACTGATCACAGAGTCCAGGAGGGAGGGTGGTGGCTGGGACACACTCCTGGCATGTACTTAACCCACAGCCCAGGTCTGATTCCTGTCACTGCATGGTCCTGAGAATCCTCCCCCCTCCCGGCAGATCTCTGCTATACCACTGATTCCTGTGACTGCATGGTTCTGAGAATCTCCTGCCCCTTCCCGGCAGATCTCTGCTGTACCTTTGGTTCCTGTCACTGCATGGTCCTGAGAATCTCCTGCCCCTCCCTGGCAGACCTCTGCTGTACCTTTGATTCCTGTCACTGCATGGTCCTGAGAATCTCCTGCCCCTCCCTGGCAGACC